GCATCTCGGTACGACGCGTTTAGACGCGTCTGACAATTTTTTTCTGAAAAAAACGCGTTTAGACGCGTCTTTTCCAAAACAAACGCGTTTAAACGCGTCTTTTCAGACGCAATGAATTTACATGGGTCGAATCGTCGACAGTGATGCCGCTATGACTGACGGCCAAGCCGTCAGTGCAAGCTGAAAACGCTCATGGGAAAGATCTATACCATCGCAAAACGTTCATCAAAAGAAATAAAAGTAAAAATTTCGTTTTTGGATGATTTCCTTGTACTGTGAAACGTGTTTCGCGAGTTCATGCGTAAAAAATGACGAGAATGAGCTAAAAGAATGTAAATAATGCACAGAACAATGCTTATTTCACAAAAAAAGAGAAAGAATAAGTAGAGAATTGAACATTTTAAAATGATGTTCACAATCGCATTGCTACTATTCACGAAAGAGGTATCGAAACGTCAACGTTTTTCGAAGAACGTTGTACTTGCACATGTTTCTTAAGAAATTTCTTGTAAGAACGTAGAAAACTAATGAATCAGCATCAAAATGCTTTTCACAAATTGAATTACATGAACTTGTATTTCTTTTGAACAATTTTTACTGATCTATTCATTTTCAGATCAAGAGCGTGCCACCAGTGCTAGAACAACAAATAGTGAGATTCATCTATCTACCCTTTCGCCGAAAACATGTGCGCATTCTAGGTCGAAAATGGAATTAATCTTATGGAATTATCCGGAAAAACTCCGAGTCGGTATATGCTCAATGTTGCACGGGTAGTACTTACACCTGACCAGCTCATGCTCGGCTTCGTACCGGATTTTCGCGGTTCGAAAGAGAACCGCGCTCCAATCAGCGAAGAGCCTATCAAAACGATTAAATGTAAAAATTGAAACTAGTCTCGTACAAAAAAATACGCCAGCGAGCAATGACACTTTTTCATCATATCGTATTTTCGAAATTTCCAATTCCAAGGGGGCTCATATTAAATTAGTTTTCTATATGGAAATGTAGAGCTTTGTTTGCTCTATCCGATGCTGTATTTGGTTTTTTAAAAAGGTTGAATGTTTGATCAAATTGTCTTTCACAAAGACCGGCAATTTAATCTGCCCCACCCGTTAACTCTCGTGCCACTTTTGTGTTTTGAATTGCATTTCAGAACAATACGACATTTTTCAATCTGATTCTTTTATCAGGTAGAGGAGCTCGAGTACTAACGGGTGGCGCATAAAGAACCGGACTATTTTGTTTCCTCTAGAACTTCGTCAGTTTAAATCTGATCGGGCCAATTTTTTTCCCATCAGAATCATCATTCAATTCTCCACAAAACCATTTGTAAAAGATTTTTGTAAACTACAAAATGGCTAAGTTCTAAAACGAAGAAAAGAGATCCGAAAATCTTCAACTTTCCAGCACAAAACCCTGTTTTTTCTAAAATTTGCTTTTCACGTGGAGAGCTACAAAAAAACTAAGTCGACCATGTTAAAGAGCATCAAATTCTGGCCAAGATTCATGTCTTTGAGAATTTTTTGATCAAAAAATGAGTAAAAAATTTAGCGTAAAATTTTTTCGCTTTTTCGAAAAAACTCTACTTTCATTTCATGTTTTTGATGCTTGCACGAAAACGCATGCCATTCAGTAAAAAAGCGTTACTTTTTGACGGTTTTTTTTCTTTGACGCCTAGTACACTCGACTACATCCCTGTACACTCGTTCGAGTCATGCAAAGTTTTGGTTGCGGTAGGTTTTCGTGAAAACCCGAATTAAGGCGTTTTGGACGAGTTTTCGGAAAATATCGATTTAATAGGCGAAGGCCACTTTCAAACAAAATATTTTCAAGAATATCGGAAAGAGCGTATTTGAAAATGCCAGCAAATATTTCTCCCTTAATTTAAGCCTGCCCCAATTGTCGAAACATACTCCAAATGTTAATGCGTTTTGAGCTAGAAAGTTGAAGATTTTCGGATCTCTTTTCTTCGTTTTAGAACTTAGCCATTTTGTAGTTTACAAAAATCTTTTACAAATGGTTTTGTGGAGAATTGAATGATGATTCTGATGGGAAAAAAATTGGCCCGATCAGATTTAAACTGACGAAGTTCTAGAGGAAACAAAATAGTCCGGTTCTTTATGCGCCACTCGTTATATATATGTATTTGATTGAAATGAATAACTCTTGAATATGACCCACAGGAAAAAAACTTCAAGGTTACTTTAAAAAATACGACAAAACTATATTGTTGTTATAAGATACTTCCATAGGCAGTAAACCATTAAATACTCAAAGTATTCAGAAAACTTCTCCCTTCTACAGACTTTGTAGAGCCTTTTCGCTGATCATTTTGGAAAAAACATTTTCGATTTCATTGAGAAACGGCGGTATTTTAGTCAAAATATTAAACACTGAAATACCGGCTGTTACAAAATGTTTACAACATAGTTTGTTTAGCGAATATCTCTGCATAGACCAATGATAAAATCTTGCTAGGGCACGGAAAAATCAGACTTCGAAAATTTCGATTTTTCAGATGAAATCATATGATTATGAACTTAATCTATAGATTACCAATATAATCTCGCTGGTTTTGGAATCCAAAACACGCACTCAAAACCCTCCCGAATTGATGGTCATTTCTCTGTGTTAGTGGAGTGTTAGTGCGGTGTTAGTGGATGTTTGCATAGTTAGATCAGCGAGTTCTATTACTGAGCTACTCACTATACAGATCTGTGACAAAGTTGAGTGTTAGTGGGTGTTAGCATCATTTACCAATACCCTTTACATTCTGAGAGTCATGAAAACAGTTCTAAGTGGATGTATGGTACAAGTGTAGCATTAATGGGTGTTAGTGTACAATGTGACGACTCAAAGTCTATCAAGATAATGAATAAATGCGTGTTAGTGGGTGTTTGTAGGCTTAGCTCAGCAAGTTCGAATTATTGAACTACTCGCTACATGGATCTGTGAAAAAGTTGGGTGCTAGTGGGTGTTAGCATCTTTTACTAATACCCTATTGAAGCCGAAGCAGGAATGTATTGGTTAAGATTTTAAAAAAAGGAACAAAATTGACTTTTTAGACAATTCACATTTCTGTATGTGACATCTGAAAAAAGACATCATTCTAGCGTAGATATATTTCCAGAGGCGTATGATCTGAGTTTAGACTCAGTTCGAAAACGATTGGACATTTCGAAAGACTCTCTCATTAGGCGACAAGTTATGCTACTACTGCTCATGGATATTTTCAAATCATTCAAGTTCATGGCTCTAACACATCTATTGTGCTTCCAATTACTTACCCCAGTTGCCAGTTTTACTGAAACGATCATCAAACCCGTTGTCTCGTATACCATCGATTGCTTCTCCATTTGTACCATGAAATAGTTCACGTTCGTTCGGATCGAAACTGGAACATTGTTTAGCAATTATTCTTTTCATTGCTTCATATTGATCTTCCAAAAGTGGATTTCTTATTTGTTCAATCGATAAGATTGTGGTATTATTTTCTATGTTTTTCATTTGTGCTTCCACGTCTTTATATAATTTGTCTGATGATGGTAAACGTACTAGAACAGACCAATATTTTGGATCTGGATTTGGTACAACTAGAAACGGCTGTCCTAATTGTGTCCAATGACGAATATTTACCATTTTATCAACACGCTCCTCGAGTCTATAATCAATCGGGCGAAGTATTTGAAAGCGTTTATTTTTAATATTATCGACAATAGCTTCAAGTTCAATTAAGTATGGTCTTTGTTGAATATCGACACGCATTGCTAATTCGTGTGTATACTCTTTTTCCAATGATAAATTATTCACATCGAAATCAATTCGATCTTGTGTTAATGCCACATGTGGTTCAATTAAATCCATTGTAAATGGACCTGTTGGAACATCTTCATCAATCAACAGGACATATCTCCAATCTTGCCGATATACTTTGCATGTTATATGATATTTGTGCAATTCATCTTGAAATTTCTCAATATCAAAATAAGCATGTGTCGGTAAATGACAATCTAAATCGGCTGGAACGACTTCTTTATTTAGATACGGTAGGTTATTGCTATATTCAATCCAGTCTTTTGGACTTGGTGAAGGATTAGCTGGTCTTGATGTATAATTACCAACAACCCAATCACGTACGAAACCACCTTCAAGTCTGCAAGAAAATTTACAAACAGCTATCCAAGCTACAGCTTCCATTCGTGTTTCACGAGTTGCGTTTGGACCTTTGATACCTTTGTACAAGTCTACAGCTGTTCGTTTAGGGTCGGTAATATGAGAAATTCGTTCTTCAATATCATGATATTTTGAGCGCACTTGAGGACGAAAAACACGTGGAGGAACACCTAAATGAGAAATAATACTGATTTTCATTGTAAATCAAATTGAAGTACGAAGTGCGGGTATCAAAATATAAGGTGAAGAAGCTTTGCCTCTGAAATATGAGAAATGATTTTATTATGATTTTCACTGAACACAGTCTTCTCTAATAATGGATTGCGACTACATTGTTCATTGTCAATATATTTATTTAGTTTATATGTCCGTTTCGGTACGTTACTATTCACACTTTTCAATTGGTTATTATTATAGTCATATATGAATCGTTTCCTAAGTCTTATTATTCCTGATTCATATTTATATTGTCGTAATTGTTAGGTCCCACCTAACTTGTTTTAATCTTCACTTGTATGTACAAATGTTTTATTAAGAAAGCAAAGGCACTCCTCTGTACAGTATATGCCTGTGTATATATAGGCGAGAAAGAAAGGAAAAA